CGGATTTATGGTCTCTGGGTCTACAGGATGGAGTTCGGAGGGGTTTGTTTGTGGTGTGGCACGCATGGGTAAGGGCTCACCCAGCGTGCTGTGGCGGTGGTTGGTCTTTGGAGGCGGTTCTTATCTTGGAGGTACAAAATGGTGTGGGACCCATCGTTAGTATGGTGTGCCCGGGAACATTCCCAGTTAACCGAGGTTTAACTGGAAGGTGGTGGTGCTGCACTGCGGACGGTATGGTTGTCTCCAAGCTGGTTGGTTGCGGCTGGAGGCCTAGTGGAATATGGTTGTCCGCAGGTGCATTTCGGATCGTTTTGGGGGTGCCTTCAAAGACCAACGACAACTCTTTATGTTTTCTGTTATAAGGAATGGTTGATGTGTTTAAACTTGCTTTGTTAATAAAAGGCCGTGCTGGCTATTTTACTCCAAAATTGGTGTTGTGTTTTCTGTAAGTATAGTAAGTAAATGGGATTGGTATGGAAGGGTAAAGGGTAACGGTGGTGTAGTGGGGTCTTGATGAACTTATCTCGGGTGCACTAGTCATGGCTTTGCACAATACTGTATGCTAGAATGAAGATTATCCTTTGTTTTTTTGGATTTACAATTGAAGTGAGACAGTCAAGTGCATCATGTTATAGGAAGGTTCTTTTGTATTTTCAGCTGGTTTGTTCCTTTAGGCCACCTCACCATAGCTTGTCTGTTTATGCTGTATACTTAGGTTACTTGATTTTAAACAGAACCATTTGTGGGATTTAGTGTTTACAAGAACAGTCAGGCTTCTTCTTCTTTCTGTAACCATAACTGTAACTTACATTTTATCAACAACAGGAAGAGCGTAAGAATCTCATACAATAAAAAATGTTGACATTTAATAAATAAAAACAAAGTGGCAGTAAAAAAATTTAAAAATCAAATTTCATCATAAATGTATGCCAAAATGTATTCTGCTACATGTCTTTGCTAAAAAAAATACTTTTACATGAAATAGGGCACAGTGACTCCTCTACTGTTTTATATAAGAGAAAGGAGGAAGGTTCCAGATAGTTCAAATAAAGTAAATGTAAAGTTTTTTATAAAAATGCATATAAAACCTCAAAAAGACCCAGTATACAGTGCTGTAGTCAGAATGTGATGACGTCAGTGTATTATGCTCCTCCCTACATGTTTCATCACAAGGGGACATTGTCAGGGGCCATATGTAATTAAATAATAGATACACATCTGCCACAAAATATGAATCCCTCTTTGTGGCATTAAATATGTAAACCTCACTGTAAATTAAGGAAATTAGTATGATGTAATTTTCAGCAATAGGATAAGCAGAGGTAGAGGAATGACTTTCTTTTACCCTGTATTACTGTTTTATTTAGCTGTCAACTTTTATGAGAAAATCATAGGGAGAATTACCTTCAACATTTTATGTAGTCATGTTAGGATTTATCAGCATGACATTGAAAAACCATGAGAGTGAAAGGCTAATCCACGTTCAGAATATTTATTTGGCCAAGTTAATGTACTCAAACAAATGGCAGTAAAAGCATTAACTTTGTAAATGTATTCATCTTTTGGTATGTTTGTACAAGATCTTCCAGTTTTCACTTTGCCCCACTGAGAATATGTGTTTTTTTGTTGAAGTCACGTGGAAATGAACTATGTAATGCTTGGTAGGCAACTCATAGTTCACTGTAGGCAGTTGGAGACTGACCTCCTAATTGTTTCCTACTCACTTACATGAATTGCAATCTTCTTTGCAGAATGTTACCTGCTACCATTTCAGTTTAGGCATACACAAGTATTCCACTTACAGTCATGACCAAAAATATTGGCACCCCTGCATTTCTGTCAGATAATGTACCACTTTGCCCAGAAAATTGTTGCAATTAAAAACATTTTTAGGCATTCTCGTGTTTATTTCCTTTGTTTGTATTGGTATAACACAAAAAAGTGGAGAAGCAAAAAGCCAAATATGACACATTTCGCACAAAACCTCAAAAATGGACTGGACAAAATTATTGGCACCTTCTCAAAATTGTAAGAAATAATTGCATTCCAAGTTTGTGATGCTCCTGTAATTTGTAACTAAACTCTGCTGTATCAATGATCAAGTGCTGACAATATAGAAATCACAACGGCAACCAGTTGAAAAATGGTGAAAAATTGACTCAACCTTTCTGTTTTGTGTCTGTGCGCCACATGGAGCAAGGAGAAGAGTAAGAGCAGCAAAGAATTGTCTGAGGATTTGAAAACAAAAATTGTGGAAAAGCATGGACAAACTCAAGATTACAAGTCAATCTCCAGAGATCTTATTATTCTTGTGTCCACCGTGCACAACATTGTAAAGAAGTTTACAGCCCATGACCCTGTAGCTAATCTTCCTGGACATGGACGAAAGAGAAAATTGATCAAAGAAATGAAGGATTGTTTGAATGGTGACCTTCGATCAACTTGCTGACAAATCCAAACTGACCTTCAGGTACAGGGTACAACTGTGTCAGCTCGAACTATACGTTGCCATATGAATGAAATGGGACACTATGGTAGGAGACCCAGGAGGACCCCACTGCTGACACAGAAACATAAAAAAGCCAGATTGGAATTTACCAAAACGTAGCTGAGGATGTCAAAATCCTTTTGGGAGAATCCCAATCATTCTACTGTTTTCAGAAAAAGAAATGAGATCTTTAAAGAAAATAATACATGGTGGCGATTCACTGATGTTTTGGGGTTGCTTTGCTGCTTTAGGCACTGGAAGTCTTGCCCATGTGCATGGCATCATGAAATCTGAAGACATCTGGGGTGCAATGTAGGGCATGGTGTCAGAAAGTTGGGTCTCTATCTAACCCAACGCACGTCACATCCAGAAATGGTTTCAGACAAAGGGCTGGAGAGTACTGAACTGGCCAGCAATGAGTCCAGATCTCTATCCCATAGAGCACCTGTAGAAAGATCTCAGAACAGCAGTTAGGAAAATGAACTCTTCCAATCTGAGAGACCTGGAGCAGTTGGAGAAAGAAGAGTGGTCCAAAATTCCAATAGAGAGGTGTAAGAAACTCATTGATGGTTGCAGGAAGCGATTGAATTCAGTTATGTTTTACAAGGAGTGTGCAACCAAATATTAAAATGAGGGTGTCAAAAATATTATCCAGTCCATTTTTGGCATTTTGCATGGAATGCATCAGATTTGGCTTTTTGTTTCTCTACTATTTTGTGTCATACTAATACAAACAAAAGAAATAAACATGGGAATGTGTAAAAATTTGTTATTGCAACAATTTTCTGGACTAAGTGGTGCATTAACTGACAGAAATGCAGGGGTGCCAATATTTTTTACCGTGACTGTACTTCTTACCTCCTGAAATCACTCTCAACTTTCTGACAGCTGACTGCTTTAATCACATGATCAGTCCCATAGATATACTAAGAGACAGACAGCAGTGAGTCAATCACAGAAGTATAATCCCCCAGGCTCCAAATTATGCTGCATCTCAATAAAACTAACATCCCACCAATTTAATATCCATCATGATTATTAATCTGATGACAGTCATAATAGTATACTGTATATCATACAGCCTCAATAATAATTCAACAACAACCATAATAATCAAAAGGTCCACCACAATAATTTTAACATCTTTTTAACATTTAACATATGAATAACCCAGAGTACCATAATCATATTTGCTATTGTGATAATTGAAATATCTCACATCACTCTATCAACCTGTATACTACCATAATAAAAAGTGCTACACTACCATTAAAAAATCCAGTGGGGTAACAATACCCACAATAAAAGCTACCACATGACCAATAAAATTGACCACCACAATTTTAACAACATTATCTTGTATTAGTACAAAATCCAAAACTTTGGCTGTCACCACAAAAGAGAAAAGTTTTCAGTGGGGTCACTTGTTCTGGTGAAAACTATCTAAAGGACTGAAAAATGAAAGAACGTTTGGGCTTTAGATTTTCTTTATTCCTGGCAATTTTTAGTTTTGGACTGAGCAACTATTGTGATATCTATGGGCATACCATACATCTGAAGAAATCCTTAGCCAACTGATATCAAGGGGGGGGGGGGGGGGGGAAATATTGACAAGGCTAAATTTTCCCATAGCAGGGGCGGACTGACCATTCGAGCACTCGGGCACTGCCCGAGGGCCCGGGGTCAGAAGGGGGCCCCATGAAATGCCGCTGGTGACTTTTATAGGCTTTTTTGGATGTGCTTTGAGTGTGGGAAAGGACACAGGGGCCCCATGATCCCCTATTGCCCGGGGCCCCATGAGTTGTCATTCTGCCCCTGTCCCATAGCATAAAATTGGCGATAAGGGTGTCTGTTGAAAGCCGAGGCAAACACATTTAATATGTGAATGCTCATTATGACGGTCATCTAATTGTCTGCTTTAAACTTATAAATGAGCGTTATTTCCAGAACTCAGCTCCATGTAAGTTGGCTCATCATAATTTATGGTCCAGGCACTTGAGGTACACATTTTAGGTCTGCTGATGTGCAGAACCAAAATGTCATTACTGTGTCCTGCAAGAACCTCAATTATTCATAGGGATGAGTGGATGCGCTTTCAAAAGCTGCTGATAAAGTCAGCAGAGATGTGTATGTCATGTAGTCATGAAGATCTCAGATCTACAGGCCACGCTTAGACATTTTTGACCATGCAAGCCATTTTTTCCAGCCAATTTGACAGTCATTCAATGGCTATTTTTGGTAATATGCCGTTAATCTTAAACAGACCATAGTTTAAGCATACAGTAATAAACATTGCTGTGAGATAGTGTGGCACCATTGCAACCATTTATGAGAAAATGGCATCATTTTGTCTGGGTGGAATTTTGCCATGACTGCATTTTATTGCAACACGAGAATCAAACACATAAACCAAGTTGTAAAATCCTAAGAGTAAACCTATATAAAGCGGGTTTGAAGAACAGGAGCATTACTGCAGCCCAGAAGGAGAAGAGCTTGCTTGAAAACCAATACCATGAGCTTGAACTGGGGTTATGAAGCACACAATGGTAAGTGTACTGTAGTACATGTACCAACAGGGAAAAAATCGGTAGCAATAGTTGTTAGGCTCATGCACTGGGAAACAAGCTGCGTATCTGTCTGAGATTCATAAAAAATATTTTATTAATGTTTTTTTCTTTCTAAAGATTTATGTAAAAAATTAATAATTGATGATAACATATCTTGAAAATTAGATTCTCCATCAGCCTGGACTGAGTGACTTTTCTATATTAGGTTTTAATTATTATCTGGAAGTGATTTTCATGCTCACCAGTTTGGTATAGTATTTAAGGTTTTTGTAGACATAGTAGATGTTATTAATTACAACAGTAAAATCAGTCTGTATAGGCAATATAGCATGCTTGTTATACTTACTGTGGAACCTAAGGGGTTAATCTTCCACATTGTTTGATCCTGTCTTGTCTGATCCTCCCTTTCTTCTACTGTCCCCAATCCATCTGCTGATAGTAAAGAACCCTAATAACTCTGTACATGCTCAGTTTTGGTTTGTATTGTGAGAGAGTTTTTTTTTCTTTGGGAGGATGTATGTGATCAGCACTGTCCAGACCAGGGGCGGACTGACTATTTGGAAACTCTGGCACTGTGCGAGGGCCTGGGGTCAGTAGGGGGCCCCATGAGATGCCCCTTGTACCTTTTTCATAGGCTTTTTTGAGTTTGGGCAAGGACACAGGGGCCCCATGATCCCCTATTGCCCAGGGGCCCCATGAGTTGTTAAGCACTCACAAGATATCTGGTGATAAAATATGCCTTTTAGGTTTTTTTTCCTAGACCCAGATATATCCTCCATTCTCACAAGAATTTTTGCGATTCTCCTCCTCTACCCAGGATCAACAAGACACCACTCTCCATGCAAAAAAGATTTGAAGTAATGCAGAATCAGTATCCAAGTATGTTTCCCAAACCATGCTCTCACATTCTTAAAAAGTATAATCAGCATTTATTGTATTTCAAATGGAGCCAAATAAAAATGCCACATCACCATTGTATTTCAAATGGTATTTCTGAGATCTCACGGTCAGCAACAGATGACAGCACAAGAATCACCCACAAGCAAGATGGCCCCCGGGAACGCCGCACGCCGGTATGCGTTCCACACACCAGAAGTGATGTGGTACGTTGGAGAGATCCAAAGATATCTGGTGATTGGAGGCATATTGACTGGGTCTAGGATCCCAAAAAAAAAACCCTAAAAGGCATTTTTCACCAATATCTGGTGAGTGCAGTGTAGTATTTGAGCACTATTTCAGTGGAAACACGGGTCAAAAGTTTTTTCGGAAAAGGACTTTCCTGAATATTTTTTTTTTTATTTTTCACTTTATTGATTTGGAGTGGGACTTATTAATTAAATTTTTTTTATATATTTTTTATTATTTTTTTTATTTTTATTAATTATCATTTATTTAATTTTTACTGCAGTGTATGTTTATTAATTTTTATTATAATATTTGTGCTGTTTTGATGTTTTATATATTTGTTGGTGTTTACACTAATGAGCAACAGTATTTATTTATTTATTTAGTATATAATTTCACGGTTTTGGCGCTGGTGATTTTTGTATAAAGAAAAGAATGCTATTCATGTCAAATATGGCTAAAAGAGAATATCAGAATAAGGAATTAATTTCTTGTAATACAAAATGTGTGACATACTGTATATAGTATTGCAATGTCTTTGTGGCATGACATGGACTTTAGCCAAGCGTATTAGTGAGCATATACAGTGTATAATATTCAAAAGGGGTATAAGAATCCTAATATGTCTGTACAGTTTAAAAAAAAACACTGTAAAAATCCAAAGGGACTTCAGTTCTGAGGAATAGAACAAATGCAAATAGGATGGACTGGAGGTAACGTTAATGTTGTCACAAGCAGAAACCAGATGAATCTATATAATGGACACCCTGGCCCAATGGGGCTAAATATTGATCTGAATTGTATAATTACATAAATAGTTCGCTATTGTCCACAATATATAAGACTTGTAGATGGAGTCAAACTGTTTTTAGACTTTCTATATATTGATATTAGGACGTGTAAGTTTTACTGTATGCAGAAATATCATGTATTATTCCAACATTTTAAACAATTAAGCTGTACTGTATATCTTAAATCTTAAAAAGATTTGTACTATGCAGTTGGTGGGGGTACAAAATTAAGGGGAGAGAGGTTGTGCTATACTCAAATTATGGCAATCAGGCACTACAGTTCATTTTACTTTATGGACCATGGTACAATCTTGCTACAACCTAAGACATAGCCAACTGCAGGTTTCATATGTTACTAACTAAACAAAGAAAATCTTCAGGGCATGCTGGGACTTGTAGTTTAGCAGAATCTACCATTTTAGCTATGCATTATAGCTGTATTCATAGAATACCAGGGCAGCTGTCTATTTTGATTTTGTAACAAAAATCCAAAATTCAGTCCACTCAGATATATTCATAACAAATACAGTTTTCATCTTTTAGACTTATGTACTTGTTTATAAACCTAATGTTTTTGTTTAAAATACAATGTATGACCAAAATGAGAAACAGGTGCATAATGTATATCAAGCTTTTATGACTTGTTCTTTGTAGGGCCGGAGCAGTGGCACAAACTTTACCCCATTGCTCAAGGAAATTTCCAATCTCCAATTGATATAAAAGCCCAGGATGCCAAATCTGATGAGTCACTGAAGTCTCTTAGTATTAACTATAACCCAACTTCTATCAAATCCATTGTCAACATTGGTCATTCCTTCCATGTTATTTCTGAAGACAAGGAAGACGTCTCAGGTAATCCTAAATCCAGTAAAAAAAACACCTAGTTTTGGATAATGTGATTTCTGTTATGAATCAGGTGAAAGTTAGAGAAATGTCATCCAACCCTATTTGGGCACTTAAATGAGCCTATTTTGTTATTTATTTTGATTACATACTTCAGTTTTGTCAATATAATGCAAATATCTAATTTTACAATCAAAATAAGCTATTTAATATCACTTTTTCAGTTGTGAAAGGAGGTCCGCTCCAAGCAAGTTACCGTCTAAGCCAATTCCATTTCCACTGGGGACCTTCCAATGACTTGGGATCAGAACATACTGTGGATGGCAAGACCTATTCTGCAGAGGTATCACCTCACCTTGTACATCTTGTATCATCATAGCATCAGTTTACTCTCTCTTTATACAATACCCTCTATACAACATTACACTGCTTGCCATTAAAGTGATTGTAAACCTCAGATGTGAAATATGAACAAAGCATATCACTCTATAGTGTGTGCTTTTCTCAGTCCAGAGCATTAGGTGTCATTTCTGTCTTCTGCTTCGTTCCTCTGTTATATGCATGAGTCGCTTCTGACACCAAGAGAAAAATAGTGAAAGGGGAGGGCACAGCCTGTGATTGACAGCCTTACCTATGTTCCTGTGTGAAGAAAGGTAGCTTCCAATCAGCTCCCAGAGCTCTCCTCTCTGATGTAACTTCAGCTCTCCACCCCCTGCTTTTCAGAGCTGAGAGATCCTGTGTAAATTCTTCACTTTGAATGGATGTAGGGGAAGGATGGCTTGCAGATAGACAGGTACAACTTATGTAGGAGGATTTGTTTCATCTTTGTGGAATACCTTAGGCCAGTCACTTCACTGGATTTACAGCCACTTTAAGCTTGATGGAAGTTGGTCATGTAGTACATTCTATGGCAAGCCTGATATTATTTTGCTATCCAAACTATATATGTGTACACGCTCCCTACCATTGAGACACTGATGATACAGACACCAGTGACAGCCGTTCCACATGGTGTTTCTACACCACAATACCCTACATGCTTTTATTACTCTACTACCATGTGAGTGTTCCTACTATTTATTATATATTAAAGTGGTCTGCTGCACTTAGAGGCGCTTCTTCTTCTCTCCTTACTACACAGAGTGTCCGTTTATGACACACAGAATAGCTGAGATTCAGAGGATCACAGCTATTCTCTGGTCATTCACAGTTTATGACACTCAGGAGATCATGTCAGCCCTTCTCTGGAGATCTGTGTTCTCCCTCCAGATTCTCCAGCCCAGAGCTGGAGAATCGGAGGGACCGAAAACTAAGCAGAGATAATTTACCTCTGTTTAGTAAACTGATCTTTTACTGTAATCTTGCGAGATTATAGTAAAATCAGCCGTTTTCCAGAGTTTGGAGACCGTTCTCCCTTCGTTTGGAGAACTGCTTCATAAACTGCATTCACAGGAGAACTGTGTTCTCCGAGAATGCCGGAGAACTGAGCAGCGATCTATTACCCCTGGTTCATAAACGGACACCAGAGTCTGCTACAGTACTGCATGGAGCTTGCCCTAAGTGCCACACGGACCCCACCTTATCCAAGTCACCCGGACTATTTCTAAATACTACTAGACTTTTCAGACTTTGGTCCAGTATTGCGCTGATTATCATTACTTCTATTGTAGCCTTTAATGTCCCTGTTCTCTTTTATTCATGTCTTCGTAAACTGAGTGCTGCGGAGCCTAACAACTCCTATCACAGTTATACTGTTCTTAAAATATTTTAATGTGTGATACTGAAAATACATTACCAAAGACTATGCAATAGTAATACCAGCATTGTGTCTGCTAAGTGAGTAGATGGCTTACTTATTCCCTGACTGATAGAATTACATTTTTCTCTCACAGTTGCACCTTGTTCACTGGAACTCAGAGAAATATTCCAGCTTTGCTGAAGCCTCTAAGAATCTTGATGGATGTGCAGTGCTGACCGTGTTCCTGAAGGTCTGGAATAAATATAATACAGATTTTCATTCATTTAGCATGTAATTGTCGATTTCATGCCATCCCTAACTTAAACATAGGGATTATGGTTGTAGGTTCTGTATATAGGATCCTGTTCATCTCCAGTCTTACTGAATATACTGATTTAGCCTATTTGAAGGTTTTCAGACACACAAGCAACAAATGACAACACATAAAGGATAAGTTCACCTTTTCACAAAAAAATTAACAAATGCACATCATTTTTTTGCAGGTAAAAAAATGTGGATTTATTATTTTTCGTGTTAGGAGCCTGTAAAGCATTGCATCAGTGATCAGAAGATCACTGACGCCGTGCAGGACTCCTGCATACTGTCAGTGTATCTGCTTGCCTGTACATCCCTCTTGCTGTCAGGAAGCCTCAATGAACTACCACGGCACTCACAGTGCCGTGGTTGTTCACTGAGAGCTACAAGCCAATAGCCACTAAGGCTGTCTGGACCTGTAGTACATTCATTCACATAGAACTGTGAATGAATGATGCGGTCATGTGGGCGGAGCCCCGCACGGCTGTGCGCTGTTTTTGAGACCTAGTACGGGAAACTTCTCCCTGTATTTCTGTCACAGGGAGGGGGGGATCGGGCAGCGGTTGCAGGATCAGGAACATGTTACATGTTCCACCCTAAAAAACAGGTGGAACATGTAACATGTTCCCACAATGAACTTATTCTTTAAGGGTCTATTTCTAAAAAAAAAACAAAAAACTTGTCTCAGCATTTGCACAGCTGTTGCAAAAAGTCCCCGTATTGCCTATAATCGGCAACGCCATCTAGTGGCCTTAATACGTATTTTTCCTGAAACACCTCAATCGGGAAAATACTGCATTATGGCCACTAGACAGAGCTGGTAATCATGGGAAATAAACATATTGGAAGCATTGCAGGAATTATTTGCAACAATCACATAGCAAATTGTTTTATAAATAGGTGTGCCTTCCCTTTGTACACTTTTTGCACTTTTGCTGCCTGATATACAAAAAGTTGCCTCAAATCGCCCACACATTATTATTATTTTTATTATTATACAGGACTTATATAGCGTCGACAGTTTGCTCAGCGCTTTACATTATGGAGGGAGACAGTACAGTAACAATACAGTTCAATACAAGAGGGATTAGAGGGCCCTGCTCCTTGGAGCTTACAATCTAGCATGCAATCCACATGCACAGAAGTGTTCTGCAAAGTCCTTGATTTTTGGTGTCTTATAACAAAGTGTATGTATAGCCAAAACGTTTTTTAGTTTAGGATAGAATACAGACGGGTTAAAACCTCTGTCAGTTTATTTTTGCTGCCTGTGTACCATTAGAGTAATTTCCCTTTGTTTCTTGTTCCAGAGGTGTGGGAAGTTAAAGGATATCACCCAAAGTGAAGGGAATTCCTTTTTTAGACAGTTGTCCTGAAAACAAGTGAAAACTTTGGAAGATTTATCAGTACCTTTTATTCTGGGAACAGCCCTAAAATGTTGAATTCCCCCTCACAGACAGCAATAAAAACTTGACAGAAGGTCTAACCCTTCCCCCTATATCTATAATTTTAAAAAATACACTTCATCTTCTACCTGCAGCATTGATCCAAATTGATGCTCCATGAATCATTACATGGTGCTATAGTACTTGTACTGCCACAGCTGTCACATGGTACCACAGTACCCATACAGACAAAATGGTCACTATTGTACCTGTAATGCCAGAACTGTCACATGGTACTCCTGTATTCATACTACCACAACTGTCACATGGTACTCCTGTACTCATACTACCACAACTGTCACATGGTACTACTGTACTCATACTACCACAACTGTCACATGGTACTACTGTACTCATACTACCACAACTGTCACACGGTACTCCTGTACTCCTACTACCACAACTGTCACATGGTACTACTGTACTCATACTACCACAACTGTCACACGGTACTCCTACTACCACAACTGTCACATGGAACTACTGTACTCATACTACCACAAATGTCACATGGTACTACTGTACCTGAACTGCCACAACTGTCACACGGCACTCCTGTACTCATGCTACCACAACTGTCACATGGTATTACTGTACCTGAACTGTCACAACTGTCACTCTGTACTCCTGTACTCATACTACCACAACTGTCACATGATACTACTGTACTCATACTACCACAACTGTCACATGATACTACTGTACCCATAATGCCAGAAATGTCACTGGATACTAGAGTACCTGAACTGCCATAACTGTCACATAGTACTACTGTACCGATAATGTCAGAACTGTCACATGGTACTACTTTACCTGTAATACCAGAACTATCACATAGTTCTACTGTACCTGTAATGCCAGAACTGTCACATGGTACTACCGTACCCATAATGTCAGAACTGTCACATGGTACTACTGTACCTGTAATGCCAGAACTGTAACATGGTACTACTGTACCCATAATGTCAGAACTGTAACATGGTACTACTGTACCCATAATGTCAGAACTGTCACATGGTACTACTGTACATGTAATGCAAGAGCTGTCACATGGTACTACTGTACATGTAATGCAAGAACTGTCACATGGTACTACTGTACTCCTAATACCGGAACTATCACATGATACTAGAGTACCTGAACTACCAGAACTGTCACATGGTGCTACTGTACCCATAATGTCAGAATTGTCACTTGGTACTACAGTACCTGCATTGCTGAAACTGTCACATGGTGCTGTACTGCATGTGTGGGGTCTTTTGGCAATGCCAGTGGTGCACTGGAGGCCTTTTTCCTCTAGTAAGTTGGCTTTCATTGTTTTAATCATTTAGCAACAAAAGCTCAAGCTTATCAATTATAATGGCTGCCTGTTATTACTGTCATCAGATTTAGCATTTAGCATTTATTTCTTTATTGTAGGTTGGCAATGCCCATCCAGGGCTGAAGAAAGTGGTGGATGCATTAGGTCAAATTAGAACAAAGGTGAGTAATGCATTTGTTGTATTCTGGTACTAAATCCATTATTCACTTTCAGAGCACATAAAAATGAGTGACTATTAAAGTTTCTGAAACACAATAGACAGTTATAAAATGGAATATGTGATAATGATGTATGATTCTGCTTACTGTGTCTGAAAGCAATCGTTATGTGTAAATTCATTCGCTTGATGATTTATTATTGCTTCTCATCTGGTTTACTGAAGATTTGGCTCCTGAATTGTGCAGTTTTATTTATTTGGAAAGGTAGGAGTAGTAATCAATCAGTCTTGAGGGTGCAGAGATTATTTCATTAATAAGGGGGTTTCTTAGTTCTGCTGGTCAGAGATATCAACAACATATATCAAATAATGGAGTTTTTTTTAAGTAAACCTGAAAATTCATAAAAATATATAAACTGTACCAATCAATGATTACATGCATGGTCGGCATCCAGAGTACATAATTAATATGGGTATTTGAAAGCACATAAATAATTATTGTATATAGAGCCACATGCAACCATGTTTACATCTCTAGTAATATACATCTTATTAAATTCACAAAATGATTATGAGTTACTTAAAAACACATACAGTATATTATGTCATTTTGCAGTCTGTCATTACATATAGCCCATTCACATGCTCAATAGTTATGAGTAATATCCAGTAATATTTGCAAATGGCTCCTGTTGGCAGCTGGTGGCGAGGTGCATATGCTATGCTTTTTCGATATTACTAGTAAATAGCATGATATCCACATTGAACAGTGTAAGCTGAAATAGCAGCAGGCAGGTTTTAGCAAAGCAATGTAGACTGCAGGTAGCAGCAAGCAGGTTGTAAATGTACATTACAAAGCTGCAGTGGGTGTTAGTGGATACCAATAATGAAATCAATAATGGTTATATATAGCTATTGGGGAATATCAGTAGTCAGTCAATGATATTGCATGCAGCCAAGCAGTGAAGACTTATATAATGACAGTCCCATCCATAATGGCTCCCTATGGTAGTATGCAGGCATACAGTCATATACAGAATAGCAAGCCAGTTTATCCAGCATGACAGAGTGGTGTTAGTAGCAGGCTGGAAAATATCACAGATGGAAAATGATGCCTCTTCATAGACAAATACTTGGATTCAGCAGAATGATTAGACTGGAAGTACTGCCATCAGTGAGCTGTGAGCTTGGGATCACTACATCTTGTTTTGCTATAACCTGTCTACAGCTATTTCAGCTTATGATTTTAACAGTGAATTTTTTCTACTTTCTAATGGAAATGCATTGCCATATGCACCTTGCCACCCGATGCCCACTTACTGACAGGAGCCATTTGCAATTATTACTGTAGTTACAACTCATAGCTATATGGCTTTAGAACATATGAATGGGTTATATAGTCAGATACTGCAGTAATGATGTTATATGTGTTTTATGTAACTCATAGTCATTTTGTGAGTGTAATAAGTTTTACAAGAACATTATACAATGCTGCATGTGGCTGTATCTACAGTGATTATTTATGTCCTTTTGAAATACCTATATGAATTAAGTACTCAATGGGGCTGGCCATGTCTATGCATTTTTAGGTTTACTGAAATATTGAATTTTTATGATATACTCTATATACTATGTTATATGATATTTTGGACTAGTGTAACGGAAATATCCCCCATCCATGTCTTATGTCTCTATTTTATTCACTTTGTCTATTTCAAGCACTTTCTAGAGTAATGTGGCTTTTGCTGGGAGTTAAAAATTCATCCCTGTACCATGTAAATTTGAATTGAACATTGTATAGGATGGTCATGTATGGCAGTTATTTCCCCATATATTTTTTGGCAAAAGATAGATGTCCTACTGAGAACAGTCTGCAATGATTTTGGTACAAAGGGACTTTTAAGGCAACACAACCAAAAATAAAAATACAACATAATTTTTTATTACAAACAATTATTAAAAGGCATTATACCATCACACAAAGCACATGTGGCTAAAAACAACATAAACAAGGCTGCTAAGTGAACAATGCAATAATGTTGCTTTAAAAGTCCCACTGTATCCTAAGGGGAAAAATCTTTGCTTGAACTTTCTTGGATGTTGGCAACATCACAGTGACTCCAAAGGTGGTCTTACAAACTGAGAACAGTCTTTGTGACACATCTGCCCAGCTGATATAGTACACATGTGAAAACAATATCATACATAAGAAAGGAACTTTTTCCTTGTATGCAGACTGCCAACAAGATCAAAAAAATGTATGTGTGAGATGAATGGTTCTAATTGGGGGAAAATGCTTCTATCTGCTTCATAAGGATGCAATACATGGACCAATCCACAGCAGATTACTGAAAGCATTGTTCAAATTAGATATTTCCATTGAGGTCTTAAGCAATGTAAAGGAAATGATGAAATGATTATTCTTTGGCAGGAGTGGTGGACAAAGGTCAACTCTATGCTTGAGCAAGAATTGGGTGTGCAGGGAAAAAGTGGCAAAAGCAGAATGTATTAAGTCTAGATCAATGTTATTCAAACTCTTGTATAAAAAGAATCCAATGCTTTTTAGGGGTTTGAAGTGATCCACTCATGAGTACTTCATAAGGTTGAACAAAGCACGTGGTGGACTGATATAATTAGAAGGATCCTGAGGGGCAATTAGTGTGACCATAATAGCACTGTTATTATTTTGGTTAGGTTGATAAATGGAAAAAAAAATGAATTTCTAAATTCTGTCATAGGGTAAGCAAGCAGCCTTTACCAGTTTTGACCCATCATCCCTGCTTCCTGCATCAAAGGACTACTGGACATACATTGGCTCCTTGACCCATCCACCACTGCTTGAGTGCGTCACCTGGATTATATTCAGAGAACCCATAAGTGTCAGCCCTGACCAGGTAATGGAAACATTGAATAAGAAAAAAAGTATAGATACTGTATGTTACAAGGTATCATTTATCAGTTTTTCATAAATGAACAAATTTAGCAAAAAGGGTCCTTTGTAAAGTTAGTGAAATTAACTTTTTTTTTATCCCATTTGAATAATACCATAGAGAGGACTCCACTTATCTCTTACTTCCCTTGCTATGATAGGGGAGATCCCATGCATCTCTACTTCTGTTAAATTTTTCATATCATATATTAAAATTCCATTAAGATCCATAGAACCCCTCACAACTGCAAAAAGTAGGTGTGCAAAACTGTAGTGTAGGTGGAAGGAACATATAATCATTTTAAAGCATATCTAAACCCAAAAACAAACATTTAATTTTTTGTAGTTTAATTGTCTTAGCTGTGGTCATTAGTTATTTTTTTTTTCAATCATTTTCACCTGCTGATTCTGCCAGTAAGTGCTCTTTTAGACAGGTGGCCAGGGGCTGAAAAAAGGGGCAGTTGAGCCATGGTTTTACTGCCTTCTTGCCACCTACTTCATCTGTCCCAAAACAGTCTTATGGGGTTGTACAGCTGCCACAGCCATGCCAAGTTTGACGGGAGGTACTTTAAAAGCAGGAGTGACATTCAGACACCTAGAAGGTTGTGATGCTGGTAGACAAATGAGCAAAGTTTGAAAAAGATTGTATGTCTGCCTCAACTGATCAGGTTTCAGTCAATATGGTCATTCTAATTTCTAATATTTTGTTTTCTCAGCTAAATAAGTTCCGCAGTCTCCTATCTTCTGGGGATGGTGAGAAGGAGTGTCCAATTCTGAGCAACCATCGTCCACCTCAACCTCTGAAGGGCAGAGAAGTTCGAGCATCCTTCTGATAAACTAAGTGCAGCAATGCACACCAAAGCCAGATGACAGTGATACACATTAACAAATAACCATAGTTGTTTTCATCTCCTTTATGTAATAAAACCAATAAACTGAATTTTAACTGGTATTCTGTGTATGGGTTACATATTTATTAAGTGTAGAAAAACTTTGACTTTTTTTACATCCAACTTCGTTCTATAATTTATTGGATTTCCAAAATCAACCATCCTTTTTTATACAATTAAAACAGAGCATGCCCCAGAGAATATGGCTTTTGGTTACATGGCAACTCCAGCTAAACAAAGCCAATTCCAGTCAAAGTATGGCTGAAATGCAAAGGCAGTGTTATATTACCAAGAGATTTGTCAAGTAAGGCATGTCTTTTTGTGATCATTCTACCCTTGCTTTTTACAACTACATGTGCCTTTGATTAATTCTAAGGGGACCCTACCTCTATCATTTTGTGTGAATTTATACCGTGAGCAGGTACAGTGAGGAACAGAGGTATTTGAACACCCTGCAATTTTGCACGTTCTCCCACTTAGAAATCATGGAGGGGTCTGAAATTCACATTGTAGGTGCATTCCCATGTTGAGAGACAGAATTAAAAAATTAAAAATTCAGGAAATCACATTGTATGATTTTTAAAGAATGTATTTGTCTTGCACTGCCGAACATAAGTATTTGTACACCTGACAAAATTAGTGTTAATATTTGGTACAGAAGCCTTTGTTTGCAATTACAGAGGTTTCCTGTAGTTCTTGACCAGGTTTGCACACACTGCAACAGGGATTTTGGCCCACTCTCCTCCACACAGATCTCCTCTAGATCTGTCAAGTTTCGGGGCTGTCGCTGAGCAACACAGAGTTTCAGCTCCCTCCAAAGATGTTCTATTGTATTTTGGTCTGGAGACTGGCTAGGCCACTCCAGAACCTTGATATGCTTCTTACGGAGCCACTCCTTGGTTATCCTGGCTGTGCGCTTCGGGTCGTTGTCTTGTTGGAAGACCCAGCCACGACCCATCTTCAATGCTCTGACTAAGGGAAGGAGGTTGTTGCTCAAAATCTCACAATAAATGGCCCCATTCATCCTCTCCTTAATACAGTGCAGTTGTCCTGTCCCCTTCGCAGAAAAGCACCCCCAAAGCATGTTGTTACCACCCCCATGCTTCACAGTATGCATGGTGTTCTTGGGATGCAACTCATCCTTCTTTTTCCTCCAAACACGACGAGTGAAGTTTAGACCAAAAAGTTCTACTTTGGTCTCATCTGACCACATGACTTTCTCCTCTGGATCATCCAGAAGGTCGTTGGCAAACTTCAGATGGGCCTGGACATGTGATGACTTGAGCAGGGGAACCTTCCATGCAATGCATGATTTGAAACCATGACGGCGTAGTGTTCTACCGACAGAGACCTTTGAAACTGTGGTCCCAGCTCTCTTCATGTCATTGACCAGCTCCTCCCTTGTAGTTCTGGGCTGATTCCTCACCTTTCTTATCATCAGTGATACCCCACGAGGTGAGATCTTGCATGGAGCCCCAGTCCGAGGGAGACTGACAATCGTCTTTAGCCTCTTCCATTTTCTAACAATTGCTCTAACAGTTGATCTATTTTCACCAAGCTGCTTGGCAATTGCCCCATAGACCTTTCCAGCCTTGTGGAGGTCCACAATTTTGTCTCTAGTGTCTTTTGACAGCTCTTTTGTCTTGCCCATGGTAGTAGCTGGCGTCTGACTGACTGTGGGGTGGACAGGTGTCTTTAAAGAGCTCAGACAGGTGCTACTAAGTTAGATTAATGAGTGGAGTAGAGGTGGACTTTTTAAAGGCAAAGTAACAGGTCTTTGAGAGCCAGAATTCTTGCTGTTTCTTAGGTGTTCAAATACTTATGTTCAGCAGTGCAAGACAAATACATTCTTTAAAAATCATACAATGTGATTTCCTGAATTTTTTTTTTAATTCTGTCTCTCAGAGTGGGAATGCACCTACAATGTGAATTTCAGACCCCTCCATAATTTCTAAGTGGGAGAACTTGCAAAATCGCAGGGTGTTCAAATACTTCTGTTCCTCACTGTAAATGGTCACACGTGACAGGCAGAAGGCAACTGTATTAATTAATAATTCTTTGTTATCTTATATGACGGCAAAAGAAGGGTATAATAAACTAGAAATCAATGTTAATAACAGTGTATCGCATGTGCACTTGTGGTTGACACAAGTGGTGTTCAAAAAAATGGATGGCTTACATCTGAGAGTTCTTAAAGAACTTATTCATGTTACAGCCAAACCATTATTATTCAACTTGTTTAAGCACAGCTTACTGACTGGAATGGTACTGATAGTCAAAAAGCTGATACCAGTATTCAAAAAGTATTTAAAAAAGGACAGATATACATATATCTATGTATAGGTATACCTGGAAACTACAGACCAGTCAGCCTACCTTCAATAGTATGTAAACTTTTGGAAGTAATGATAAGGGACCATATCTAAGAGTTTTCTAATGAGAATTGTATAATTAGTAGCAACCAACATGGATTTATGAAGGACCTAGATGAATTATATATATATATATATATATATATATATATATATATATATATATACAGTCATGGCCGAAATTGTTGGCACCCTTGATATTTTTCCTGAAAATCAAGTATTTCACACAAAAAGGTATTGCATTAACACATGTTTTTGCTATACACATGTTTATTCCCTTTGTATGTATTGGAACAAATATAAAACAGAGGCAGAAAAGCAAATATGACATAATGTCACACAACAAAACCCCAAAAATGGGCTGGACAAAAGTATTGGCACCCTTAACTTAATATTTGGTTGCACACCCTTTGGAAAACATAACTGAAATCAGTCGCTTCCTATAACCATCAATAAGCTTCTGACACCTCTCACCCGGAATTTTGGACCACTCTTCCTTTGCAAACAGCTCCAGGTCTCTCTTTGGAAGGACACCTTTTCCCAACAGCAATTTTAAGATCTCTCCACAGGTGTTCAATGGGATTTAGATCTGGGCTCATTGCTGGCCACTTCAGAACTCTCCAGCGCTTCTTTGCCATCCATTTCTGAGTGCTTTTTGACGTATGTTTGGGGTCATTGTCCTGCTGGAAGACCCAGGATCTTGGACGCAAACCCAGCTTTCTGACACTGGGCCCTACAGTGCGACCCAAAATCCTTTGGTAATCCTCAGATTTCATGATGCCTTGCACACAGTCAAGGCACCCAGTGCCAGAGGCAGCAAAACAACCCCAAAACATCATTGAACCTCCACCATATTTTACCGTAGGTACTGTGTTTTGTTCTTTGTAGGCCTCATTCCGTTTTCGGTAAACAGTAGAATGATGTGCTTTACCGAAAAGCTCTATCTTGGTCTCATCTGTCCACAAGACGTTTTCCCAGAAGGCTTTTGGCTTACTCAAGTACATTTTGGCAAACTGTAGTCTTGCTTTTTTATGTCTCTGTGTCAGCAGTGGGGTCCTCCTGGGTCTCCTGCCATAGCGTTTCATTTCATTTAAATGTCGACGGATAGTTCGCGCTGACACTGATGCTCCCTGAGCCTGCAGGACAGCTTGAATGTCTTTGGAACATGTTTGGGGCTGCTTTATCCACCATCCGGACTATTCTGCGTTGCAATCTTTCATCAATTTTCCTCATCCGTCCACGACCAGGGAGATTAGCTACAGTGCCATGGGTTGCAAACTTTCTTGATAATGTTGCGCACTGTGGACAAAGGCAAATCTAGTTCTCTGGAGATGGACTTGTAACCTTGAGATTGTTGATATTTTGCCACAATTTTGGTTCTCAGGTCCTCAGACAGTTCTCGTCTCCTCTTTCTGTTGTCCATGCTTAGTGTGGCACAGACAGACACACAATGCAAAGGTTAAGTGAACGTCTCTCCTTTTTATCTGCTTTCAGGGTGATTTCTATATTTGCCCCACACCTGTTACTTGCCCCAGGTGAGTTTACAGGAGCATCACATGCTTGTAACATTCTTATTTATCCGCAGTTGTGAAAGGGTGCCAATACTTTTGTCCAGCCCATTTTTGGAGGTTTGTGTGACATTATGTCGAATTTGCTTTCTTTCCTCCCTTTTTTTGTTTTGTCCCAATACACACAAAGGGAATAAACATGTGTATAGCAAAACATGTGTTAATGCAATACGTTTCGTGAGAAATACATGATTTCCTGGAGAAATATCAAGGGTGCCAACAATTTCGGCCATGACTGTATATCCTAGATCAGCCTTTAACATTCAAGGTGAGCTGTAATTTGGAGAGAAGAAGGCTTGTGGGCATTGTGTATTTGGATTTTGCTAGGGCACTGACACATTTCCTCATAAACAATTAATTTACAAATTAAGGTCTTCTGGCATCGATGAGATCATATGTACTTGGATAGAAAACTAGTTTCAGGACAGCATCCTGAAGATGATGATTAATGGCAATTTTTTTTCGGTCTGGAGTTGTGAGTGGGATACCCCAGGGCTCTGTCCTGGATCCAATTCTGTTTAACTTGCACATAAATGGTATGGAGGATGGAATAAATAATTATATCTCAGTGTTTGCTGATGACATAGAGCTAAGCAGGACAATAACTTCACAGCAGGATATATCAACTTTACAAGAGAACCTACTTAGAATAAAAGGGGTGGGCAGCTAGATGGCAGATGAGGTTTAATATTGAAAGATGTAAATTAATGCAATTGGGAGCTAAAAATATATTTGAAAGTATGTTACTTACTAGAAGGAGAACCTCTGGAGGAATCGAACATGGAAAAGGATCTTGAGGTCCTAGTAGATGACAGACTTAGCAATAGCATGCAATGCTAATCTGCAGCAAGCAAGGGTAGCAGGCTATCAACATGCATTAAGGAGGGTATTTACTCAAGAGATAAAATTATAAATCTACTATTTTACAAAACTCTGGTTCGGTCACATCTTGAGTATGCCATTCAGTTTTGGTCACCAATCCTCAGGAATGACGCGTTTGAAT